CATCGCAGCTGTAATTTTGAATCAAAAACCTAATACGCCTAATATCTCTAAAGAAGAAACGTATGCCCTAAAACAGTTACGGAAAGACAAAAAAATTGTTATTATGAAAGCAGACAAGGGAAACACCACTGTTGTTATGAATAATTCTGACTATGAAAGAAAAGTCAATGAACATCTCCATAATGGACCGTATGAAAAAATCATGGAGAGCAAATATAGAGCCACTTTAAATAAGTTGAAAGCTGAAACAGCCAAATTGCTACAGAATTTAAAGCCCAAACTAGGATCATCTTTATGGTTCTCTTTATATTCAAAAAGCAATAACCCGTGTAGATTTTATGGCCTACCAAAAATACACAAAACAGATGTACCACTAAGACCTGTGATTGATTACATTAATTCACCAACTTATAATCTTTCTAGATACTTGGCCAAAATTCTTAAACCATATCAAAGCGTAATAAAATATGGAATAAAAAATTCTAATGATTTCAAAAACATTGTCAGTAATATTCGGATAGAAGAGGATGAAATAATGGCAAGTTTTGATGTTTGCTCATTGTTCACTAATGTTACTGTTAAAAAAGCTTTAGATATTGTGCATGACATGTTAGATTCTGACACTGAACTTAAACAGCGTTGCCTTCTAGACCCCTCAGACATTATTAGAGCGTTGGAGCTTTGCTTACATTCAACGGTTTTCATTTTTCGAGGAGTTCTGTACAGACAAACAGAAGGTGTGGCTATGGGATCACCTGTCTCTCCAATTGTGGCTAATTTATTCATGCATTCATTGGAAACAATTGCTATCTCAATGTGTTCCATTCCACCAAAAATTTGGGTAAGATACGTAGATGATACCTTTGTCATTATAAAACGAGATGGTTTAGACGAACTATTCCAACGGTTCAACAGCTTAGATGACAAAATCAAGTTTACTAAAGAGTTGGAATCGCCTGAACGCAGATTACCTTTTCTAGACTGCCTGGTTGAAAGGAAGGATAATGATTGTTTAAAAATTAATATATTCCGAAAGCCTACATATTCAGGGAAATTTTTAGATTTTAAGTCTGCGCACCCACACGCGACCAAAGTGACAGTGGCCAAAAATTTGATCACCAGAGTCAAAAAACTTGTCACTGAACCGAATGATATAAAAATGGAAATGAATTTAGTTGTATCCACTCTATTAATGAATAATTATCCGAAAGGTTTTATTAAAAGAATAATTAAGAATGAAGAACGGAATGATATTTTTAAAAAAAGAGTTAAGCAAGATTGGATGAACACAGTAGTGATCCCATATCGTAAAGGTATCTCAGAAGACATCAGAAGGATTTTAATTCGTCAAAATATAAGAGTATTCTTTCGAACAAACAATACTCTAAGATCAAAACTAGTAAGAATCAAAGATCCAATACACAAGGATGATCAACAGAATTGTGTTTATGAAATCAAATGTAATGACTGTAATGCAACGTATGTAGGTGAAACATCAAGGCAACTGAATGTGAGGGTGAAGGAACACAAACTGTGCTTAAAGCACATTCCTAAATCCTCAATTGATGTAAAAAAGCTTGAGAACAGATCAGCGATAGCATTACACTCGATTGAATCGGGTCATACAGTTGATTTCAATGGCACGAGAATCATTCAAAAAGGATTTAATTCTTACAAAGAACGACTAACACCCGAAGCCCTACATATATGGGCTAATTCAAACAATATTAATAGGAGAGATGGAATACAACTAGCTGTCCCATGGCAACTAATAATTAATAAGTAAACCTGATCTCCTTTTTCCAATTTGATATATCTATGCCATAGTAACTAATTGATAGATAATACGTTCAATGATTCAAATCCGTTATCTTATCTGAATATGTTAAACAATTGACTGGAACATTAAAAATATCACACACTTTCAATTACATATACATTCCTCTTTGAATTCAGTCTTTTATTTTGTTTACTTATCTTATTTATTTATCTTCATTTAATGCAGGCTGTGGCATTTGTAATTCATTTCATATATAAAAATGATATGTTTTCTTAATATACACAGACCGCAGTCAATATTTAGTTGATTGAAATTTCTTCTCACATCACTTGCGTATAAACACATTCTGTTGTCTTAACACTTTTGGTTCCATAACACATACCTTGTCCTTATGAGTACAAAAACAATTTGTCATAACCTTGAATTTACTTTGTAATCCTCAAGTCATTCTATGGCCTAGGATAACACGACAATTTTTTCTCATTCTTTCCCTTGATTATTTTCAAATGAAGTTTTATTTGGTTGATCTTTATTATTATTTTTCATATTATTTTCATATAAACATGTCTCTTACACATTAATACAAATACCTATTTATAAAAAATCCTTCACGTTGATTGGATGACTTATTCAGTATACAGTAAACCGAAGAACCATGTACCTATTTATATTCGATAATTTTGTTGTTTGATTATATTTTCCTTGAAAAAGCTTGGACCAGATTGCCAGGCGAAACGTTGGATTTACTTAAAATTCATTCGCTGAGATTTTACAAATATATTCTTCTTTTTAATGTCTCAAATTAACTCGGCGCCCAAATATTGTGAAACTATTCGTTCAAATTTAGACAAAAGTTCTTATTTATGTGAAAATTAGATTTGAAATAATCTTAGCGATTGAAATTCAAATAATCCCAACGTTCCGTCCAGCTAACTTGTCTGGACTTCTTCAGGGTAATAATCAAAATCAAAATCATTAAGGAAATATATAGCTTATAACAATCATAACTATACTGTGTTACACCAATCAAATTTGGATGTTCATTTTTTTAAAATAGGATAAAATGAGTCAGTTAACTACAACTCATGTGAAAAAATTCAACTACATGGAAATAATTAACTGAATAACAAATTGTATGTGTGAGACTAATTATTGATGTTCTGCGTTGATATGTTATATATGAAGGAATAAATAAATAAATAAAAGTGCAAGTTCAAGGTTGATAAAATTGTTAACGAATCATCTTTGTACATCTAAGACTTGGAGTTTCGCTTGAAGGAAAAATCCCTTTATTTCAACTCCAAATTGTGTCCACAAATTAAGATGTGTCAATTGTGATGTTTATTATATTGGAGTGTCATCTTTTGAAATCTTGACTCGAGACAAAGAACATCTGAGATACACAAAGAAACCACCTAATAGTCTCGTAGAGCTGGAAGGACTCCAAATTAAATCGGCAATGGCAGTTCATCCCATTTTTAAAAACCATCAAATCGATATCAAAATAATACAAAAAACTTTTTCCAACTAAAAATAAAGGCAAGTAGCCGAAGCTTTTCATATTTCGCTTAATCCGACTGCCTTCAGTAGAAAAGAAGGCCTCACTATCCATCCAAATTGGACCATCTATCCAAGCTATCATGTCTGATTCTATTCACATTTCATACTATTAGCGTACGTGCAAATTAAACTCTACCCTTTATCACCACAAATGTCACATTTTTTCATTCCTTACCATACAAACACAAATATATAAACATGCCTCATATAAATCACCTGGACTGGAATGACATGACATTGACTTGGTCAGACCCGTTTTTGATTGATCACAATTTATATTCTTATTTTGTTCCTTTGTACTATTTAAACTTGGGTTAATTTTATTTGATTTTTTTATCCTCTGAAAAAGTGGCCTACGCTGAGTCACGAAACGTCAGAAAAAATTCAATTTTTTTTCTCATTGGGATATTACAAGTATATTATTTTTATTTATGACAATCTAACCAATGACCAATTTATTTGAAAATATCAAGTCCATCCTTGGTAATGATACCCGCATATTTTGATTGTGTAATAATCTAAAGTATGTACATAAACTAATGACATTTACTGTATTTGTCATTTTAATTACATTCGCTGAAACCTTGTAACTGTTATTTTCAGTTTTTGTACATTACTCGAACCTATGTTTCGGCAGCTTCCATGTTTATCGGCACTTTGTCTTTGTTCGATTGTCGATAGTCATTACTGACTTAAGACACGGTTATTAATTGTGATTTACATCTTTTTCTTTTCACATATAAAATCGTTTTGACCCTAATGGATACCTTACGAGTTGAGGTTTGTAACTAATTTAGATATATTTTGCAATCATAAAACCGTTTTTTTTTAGATCTTTGTTTTGAACCTCGATTTCACGAGTGGCTCAGCCATGTAATCAAACACTCAAATAGATTTGACACTTATGAAACAAAAAGCCTACTCAGATAACCTAAATTGGGTGACAGACATCCTTTAGTTCAGTTCAGCTCTATTTACCTAGTCCTGGGTTAGAATTTATATTGATTAGACAGAAACGGTATTATCAAAGAGAATCTCCAAAACACCCAACAGCGCTATAATTTATTTTGTTTTCAAAATGACGAGAATCCCAATAGTCTATGCTGTCAAATAATGTATATATTCTGACATAAATGTAGATTAATTGTTTAAAGCGTAAGTAGGTTAGGAGTATCATATCAAAATAATACTCAATAGTGAGTGAAAAGATATATTTTCTAAACCTTCCTCTTCAAAATAATTGTTTGTAATGACATGAGTGAACCGATAATAATAAATTGCTTCCAAATTCGAACATTTCGTTGAAAGTAGCGTTTTTATAAAACGTTTTGAGAACTACGTTTTTGATTGGCTGTAGAGGCAAACGGACAAACGACTGACTAACTTTCAAACTTTCAAAAATTATGTTCCCCCTATTCTATGCTCGCCTTTGTTAATATGTACTTTTTCAATGGTCACGATTATTCATATGCCCCCTTTTTCTTAACCCCTTATTGGTGTGGACCGTTGGTGAAGTACTGGACCAAATTATGGAACCAGTGGTAATACCCAAGTATAGTGTTTGTTAACATTCAATTATTATCATTGATATAGTGTGTGTATTTCACATGGGATAAATATAAACAGAAATATATAAAAAATGTGGAAGAAATAAACTTACTTTGAAAAAACAGAATCGTAAATATTTTGAACCAAGATGTTGATTAGATGTTGAATAAAACACACTCATTGGAATAGCAGAAACACCCTACAATAAATCAAATAAGATTATATAACGACGAGATATTGGTGATAGAAATGAAACAGGATAACATACATTTATAGCAACCAGTGATTTATCACGGTTAGATACAGTACAAATCTACATTTGATAAAACGAATTAAGGAATAAAATACAGTTACACAAAAAGAATACTTCATGCAACACCAGCAGTCAAACGACTGACTACTTTCAATACGCTAGAAGACGTGTGTGTAGTAGGAAAGAGTGAATTATAAAGGATGAAACAGCTTGGTCTACATTAATATAGAATAGAGGAAATGTGAATGACAGTGGAATCCAAAGAAACTTGTTTCGTCCTATTGGGGATCCATCAGCTGAATATATATACACCTTAAATTAAATCTTCACTTAGGGACTTGATTTACTTTAGTTTTAAATGTAGAAATGTCTGTGGCTGTGAACGATCTTGATGCGAACACACAGACTAATAACTACGGTTCATGGTATGAGGAAAACTATTATAATTACAATTACACTTTGTATAAAACTATTATAAATAAACCATATTTCACATTAAATTTAGATAAAAACTAGTGAGATTTGTCAGACATTTTTCGTTAAAGTAGTATAAATAGATTTGTACAGTCAGTCAGTAACAACGTAGAACTTCGTACGTATATACATCAGTTCGAGTTGCCACACCACATTAGTACAGAGATGCAGTGGTCGATTCAAATCCCGTAGTGGTAGAGGTAATAAGAGTATAAGCAGTAATCGGGAAGATTAGTGTTTGGAGATGTTACTTAAAGAGTATAATACAGTGAAATAAATTTGAGAGGAGAAAAAAAGAGACGAGGAGGAATAAGGAGATCAAAATTTGGGAGAGCACAAAGAGTGTATGCACCTGCGCCATTGCAAACGATTTTGAGCCATGTCATTCAGGGTCTCTAACCATCGGTTGCTATCATCTCGCGGTCCCCAACCAGGTTTGTTCACTAATTAATGTATCCTCTCTCCTACAATCATCAAAACTTTTAGTGTTCTGAACTATATGTCACCCATTTTTGGCAAGAAACCTTTCAAGAGAACACTGTATATATTCAGGTAAACATTGACAAGTATTTTCACGTAAATTCTTAGATTTATTCAGTGATAAAAAGCTGAAACATATGGTGTAAATTCACTCAAAGACCCCATATAACTATTGCTGTAATCTCTCATCATAGGGAGTCATATAATAATTCGTTTATCATTTTGAATCACTAACATTATATATGGAATTTCGGATATGATGTATCGTATATCTAAGCTCCTTTTCTATGAATTGTTCCACACCATTAAAGATTAATCATTTACTTGTTAGTGTACTAATTCTAACTTAATTGTAATTTACATTATCCTCATTTCCTCGATATTATCTTGAATTTTTATTGTACATTATTGTCCTTTGAATTGTAGTTACATTCAAAAGAAAACAATTTTGAACTGTTTGAGAAACATACTAGTAACATTTTAAGATTTCATTGAAAATAAATCCGGATTTGTTTTATCTAAGGTTTAATACTAATGTTAATTCTAGATAGTCTCAATGTTTATTGAACATATTTACTAAGAGATTTATTTGTGTTGTACAATTTAAAACAACAACAACAACACATTCATCTAAGTACGACCCCACATAAGATGAATAAATGAAAATGGTTGTCGCTTAACTATTCACCTTTACATGGTTAATTATTGATTCAAGTCAATTTTATGTAGTTATTCTAAATAGGAAATCACTACTAAACTGTCACTTCCGACTAGAATAATACAAATAGCGATTCAAGTGGATGAACAAATCATGCTAATTCTTAATCCATGATCTCAACATAGACGTAAAACAGATGAGAAAACATATACGCTAGTGGATTAAATCTATCATGTTTTAAGTATTGTAATTCAGAGGTAAGAACAACAGGTTATTTCATTATATAGAATGTGAATTTCTATAGAGATTATGTCATCAGTTTACCTACCGAGATTTTTGTTTGATAAAAAAATAGTGAGAATATGTTGGAGACTGAAACTTTATCATTATTATTCAGCATAAACTGTACAGTAGTCAATTTCTGTTGTTAAAGAAAGACTTAGAATACATAAATTGGACTTCATATTTCCAAAATTAACATTTGTTTATCAAATAACTTATTCTTGGTAAAGAATATCTGAAACGAGTTGAGGATGATACTAGCAACGTTACTTAAATAAGTGAGGAATTAGTAATGGCATGGTGTGGAAGTCCAACTCCAACCAATCCAACATACCAAGTGACCATTTCCTCCTGTCTTTGATAGGTGTTTTCTTCACTCTCGACATGACTGAACCTCACTGGTCAGAGTGCAGTCGTGGATGTCTACAACTACAGAGTCCTATACTAGGACGAAACAGATGTCCAGTGGCTTCGGGTTTTCAATGATTTCAATAAAATTTACTACTAGGACCAGCTTCGAATGACAAAAACCAATATAACAGGGGTATATATACATATGTTAGATTGTTGGATACAGTTCGTAAGAAGCTACTCAGTCCCCTATCAACGAACGTCATTTGAAATCTGGAAGGGACTAATCATCCTAGGAAGATGTGAACACACATCGTTAAAAATCCATAGTCGAAGACGTTACCATTGAGGTTAGTCGGTAAACGAACGTCATTATCAGATACCAGCTAAAGACACTGATTGCTACATATATACTTACTTTATTTTGCATCATCCAATTATTAAATTTGACATCATACGATAATGAGTCATTTTTATCCAATTCATTCGATGGGACATCTGAAAGAAAGGAGTACAAATGTAAAGAAAATAGAACCTGGAATAATTGGACCTTTAATAAGGACACTAGCATTATTAAAGACAATAAGTGCTGCAGGGAAAATTTTTAAAAATCATGTTAAATATATACAAAACAAGGAATTAGTTAGTTTCATTTTAGGCGTATATGCATGGATACGCTAGTTTATCAGTGACAACGAATCTCTTAGGATAAATGTGCGTTAGCTCAACTTTCTATACTACAGCAGAATGACAAAACGAAATTAACACGTGAACGAGTCGAGATAATTATGATAAAAATAATGAGAAAGAATATATAGTGGGAACATGGCCCGAGAAATCACTTCATTAACTAGCGATGAGAACTTGTATGGATGCTACTGCAGAGGTCAACACCAAGGTGAAACACCTATCCATTGATCTCTAGTTTGCAGTGGTAGTCAAAATAAAGCTGATCTGTAGGGAACATCGCCTACCAACAAAAAGTTATATTCATCAAAAACTTAAAAATACGAAACAATCTGGAAATTGAACAAGAATACATAGTGAACAAAAAACATACTGATATACATGGAACTTACGCAATTTGGAGATATCTGCCACGAGGAAATATCCTCCAGTGGGTCTTACTGCTATCATTCCTATTTCATTCAATTTCTTAACCATATTTCGACCTTTCGGTTCAATCAATCCACACATCTCATTAAAATACGATTCATGTGTATTCAATAATGGTAATTCAATCTCTAAACTTCGTGCAACAGCTTCCTAGAATAGAATTCGAAATAGAATATGAATCAGGTGAAATGAATCACGATTATAAACACCAATCAGTGTAGAGAGTCCGCTCTCACTCACGAAATGCTTCCACATGGCCACGTGCATACAACCACAACCAGGAAAGTCCTACTCACTGCCTTCTCGCACCACAGGTGTTGTTTTACGAAATTGACAGGACGAAAAGAGAATGTCTGGCGCTTCAACCGGGTTGGTGGATACGGAGGATCCACCTAGAGGATTAAATGAACAATCTATAAAAATCACAAGAGAACTAAACAACTGTTTTGTCTTAGCTTGGAGACTTGCAAGCAGTTCTCGTACCATACAGATAAACATAACAATGAATTGGAAGTGAGATACATACCACTTGTATCAAATAGTATGTTATGTTTATGAATAAAGACTCTGGCATTCTCGAAAAATATACTGTTGCTTCATTTAACAACTGCAATATAAATTGTTTTATTTAATTGACAAAAAATGAAGCCACTACCTCGGAAAAGAAACATAAAGTAATGGAAATTGATATTGTAACTGAAATGTGTTTATTACTTGTAAAGGAGTTGGACATGTATACACAGTATTTTGTTGATGTAATTGCATAGCCTGTATTAAATTAGCTGGTCCAATTGTCCAACCTAATTTCCAACCGGTTACACTGAATGTTTTGCCAGCACTTCCAATAGTCAGGGTACGTGACCACATACCAGGCAAAGAGGCTGTGAAAATGAACACAAGTAAGGTTGAGTTTATTTCCAAAATAAAACAGGTCGACGTATAAAGTTACACAAAAGATAATTACACCGAATTTGCCTGATATACTTAAAAGCTGACGAGGAGTCACTCAAAATCAACGTTTACAGCGATTAGTGTGAATTTGAAATGGGAAATATTGGTCACCTACCTGATAAGTATGTGTGAAAGATGTCTCCTTCATGTTTTAAAATGACAGGAATTTAAAAACATGATATATTAAAAAATCTAGAATAATTGCTAACACTGAAGTAGAGGTCATGTTTTTCGTGCCACCTAAAACTTATCAGTTGAATTTACCTTCGTAATAGTGTTAATGTTCGAATCGAGAATCGATCACAATATAGATCACTACAAACACCATAAAGAATTCGCTACTGAAACACTGAAAAACCATACCCACTAGCGTCCACCGAATGCGATGAAACTACTTCCAAGAATACTCTTGATGATAAAATTTCTAAATTCAGACAGAGTTGTACCGGGGACATAAGTCAAAAGAAACTTAACCAAATGCAGCCAACAATACACAGAATTTACAATTGCTGTTTATGCATTCATGATTACAAAAAATCTTGAACTTAAATTAGTTACACAGCGGACGATCCTAAGCACCCCTTAGATAGTAATTCAAGGTAAACAAGTACAACACTTTATATCCATGAGATATACTCAAGCAAATAACTGTTAATTTTACCCTATGATAAATGATCAGTTAACATTTAGAGTATTTTGGATTAACGGTGCTTACAATATATTGGAATAATATATATACATACTTTATTTGGAATAAACAAGTGTACAAAAAGAAATTGAAATAATCATTATTTGTACACAACTTCAGCACTTAATAAAACGGAGCATTGGCTAACCACGTACCGATTTTAATATGATGATTAGGCGGAAATACTAACCATTCATAAACTTCATCTGAAATACACACCAAATTATGACGAATGCATACATCCGCGATACTCTCCAATTCTTCTCTATTAAATACCTAAATGTTTGGGAGGAAAAATCATAAAACACTTGAACACAGATTGATCACATTGACTAGTGCTGCTTTTTATAGTTGCTGAACGAATTCATCCGACTAAGTGTGACCTCCAGTCTAATTGAATTAACTTCACCTAAGTTCTAACATCATATAGTTATAGACAATGCACAAGAAGCTGAAGACTTAGACTTCATTCCAGATCGTACAAGATAGCTAATTACATCCAATTTATATAGGGAAATGATATTCTTTAGTGACCCGGTATCTGACTCCATTTGGATCCTATGGATGATTGTTATTGAAACATACATATTGCCAGTACTCGCATATAATTATCGACTTAAATCACGTTGTTGAATAACGAAATTAAATAAGTCAAATGCGAAAATGGATTTTTGAACACGTATATTTTGTACGACCACTGATCGGAAAGGGAAGCAAAACAAAACTCTATTAAACCAGACGTCAACTGATATTTATAGTCAGACAAAAGTAAGTAACAAACATGTGATGAGGAAGATGAGAAATGCACACACATACGCTTACACAAAAACAGTCAAGGCTGATAAGCGAATAATTAACAAGGTCAAATGCGACTCAAGAAGAATGAATAAATTGGCCTGTCCGGAAGCTAGAATAAGGTATGTGGGGTTGAGATAGCAACCAACACTACGGTTCCCCCAGAAAGATCTGAAACACAGACACCTGAGCTACTCAAATAGGTTATAAGAGGAATATTTTAAAAGAGAGAAGTGACCAATTATCATGATCGTTTGATTCTTACTTTTAATTGAAAGCAGTAAAAGCATGTGAACTGAAGAGGCTAACCGACACGTCAATTCAATTCACAAATACTTAGTTTACATTAAAGTCAAATCAACTACATATTTATTATTGAGAATAGAACAATTACAACTTACTTTACCCAAAGGATTATGTGGTGTGTTTAATAGTAACACTTTAGTTTTTGAAGTAATTTTCGATTCCAATTCTTTGATATCTAATTTCCAACAATCACTGATTAATTCTTCACCATCATCTAATTGCTATATAAATCAATCATACAAGATTACTTGGAAATTAAGAGTGGGTTTTACAGAAGTAAGCAATTGGCAGATTATATAACTATCACCTTTTTTCAAGCTGGCTTCAGACCTGGTCGTGGCTGCATCGACCACATATTCACCATTTGTCAGTTTCTAGAACACAGGCATACTTATCGGCGTCCGACAATGGTGGTCTTTCTCGACTTAAAAGCAGCATTTGACTCTGTAGACCGCGAGATTCTGTGGCAGTGTCTGTCATTGAAAGGCGTACCTCAGAAGTACATAAACCTTGTGAAGGCTCTTTACTCGAACACTACTAGTCGAGTCAGAGCTTATGGCGAACTGTCATCTACTTTTGCAACCTCAAGTGGTGTCCGTCAAGGATGTCCACTTTCTCCATTTTTGTTTAACTTCATCATAGATCTACTGATGGAAATAACTTTCTCGTCGACTGAGTTCTCGGGTATTGATCTCCATCCAGGAGGTCCACTTATCGACTTAGAATACGCAGATGACATAGTCCTGTTTGGTGAAGACGCTGACAAAATGCAGAGTCTTCTGGTAGCACTAAGCAACAATGCCAGAATGTTTGGGATGCGCTTCTCTCCCTCTAAATGCAAGTTGCTGCTTCAGGACTGGTCTGCGTCAACACCTGAACTAAGGATAGGGAGTGAAGTAGTCGAACGCGTTGACAACTTCACTTATCTTGGAAGTCTGATCAGCCCTAATGGGTTGGTGTCTGACGAAATCTCAGCACGGATTCGAAAAGCTCGCTTGGCTTTTGCCAACTTACGTCACCTTTGGCGAAGGCGAGATATCCGTCTATCAATAAAAGGACGAGTATACTGCGCGGCAGTCCGTTCTGTTTTAATTTACGGCGGCGAAACATGGCCATTAAGAGTAGAAGACACTCGTAAGCTACTAGTATTTGACCACAGATGCCTTAGAAATATTGCTGGCATCTGCTGGGATCACCGGGTAAGTAATAGTGAGGTTAGACGCAGGGTATTAGGAAATGATGGTAAATCAGTTGATGAGGTTATGAATCTTCATCGACTGAGATGGTTGGGCCACGTGTTACGTATGCCTGAACACCGATTACCACGACGTGCAATGCTATCCGGTATTGGAGATGGTTGGAAGAAAGTTAGGGGCGGCCAAACCAAAACGTGGCATCAGTGCTTGAAGACACTAACTTCTAGTCTGAGCCATGTTGGTAGATGCAGACTACTTGGTTGGGGTCCGCGTGACTATCGTAACCAATGGTTGGAGACTCTTGGTGACATGGCTCAGAATCGATCACAATGGCGTTGGTGTATACACTCCCTGTCTTCCCTTAAACTAAGAGATTAAAATCACTTCATATCTTTCTTTCTACGAACCAATTCTTTCTTCTTGTACTATATCTCTATATGCAATCTTTCTTTTATATATTACCACCTTTGACCTAACCACTGCTATGAATCCGGTGTTCATCTTGTGCTGATGCGGTATGGCAACCTGGACCGATGCACATATGTACCTGGTCCTACGTTGTAGCTGACTGACTGAACAGGAAAGTGGTTAAGAGTAAGCCAATGGTGAATATATAAATTGTTATAAAGTCACAGTGTAGATGTCAGATGAATATATCGTTAACAGTTGATAAAGTAAGTGAAATAACGGAGGAAACGTCGCTAGTTCATTAAATTCTGAAAACATTTTATTCGGAAAAGCATGCCGTACTTAAAAGATAATTAGAATGTACAAGTTAGAGTTAGTATGTTGAACTTAGATTTAGAAAAAACTGTAAAATCTAATACCATCTGTCTTAAGTCCTAAACCCTAAATTACAAAGTGTAGATACTGATTCTGGTATTAAAATCTAAACTATGTTTCCTAATCTTAACTCTACATCTTAAGCACAGCCCAAATCCTAGTCAGTTGAGTCATAAATCCCTTATTTACCTTTTCTGCATTCTGATCGCCTGGATATGTTAACAGCTTGCCAAAGTCATAGAAATGTTTGCTTCGGCTCGCCTTTACAATTCAGCTTTATAAGTTTTTCACTAGCTTCAAAACAATGACATAGTAGTTTTTTGAAAAATGCATCTGTTTCAAAGCAATTCTAAACATTGTATTATTTTTTGAGAGATTCTAGAGTCTTGAGCTCGATTACTCATTTGTTTGCATGTTAACTGAAGAGTCCTTAAGCTATCGTATCTATTGATACTTAATTTTTTAAGATTATTTAACTAGTATCGGCTCGTGATGAATACGAACTTCATATAACACTATATACACGTTTCTGTCATAATCTGCAGTTATTGTGGTAATTTCATGTTAATATCATCTTTCTGCAATCATATGGAATTGACAACTTGGACCGATGTACAGACCTCCCAGATTCTAAGTTGCTTCAAGCAGACTAAAAAATGTTGAAATTCACTTTTAAATGTTAGATAAATTGAAATGAGTTGACATTGTTATAATTTCGCTGAGTTACTTCTAATTAGTATAGAGGCTAATGGCGGATGTATGTTTCATCCTACTTGGAACTAGTCAGTTTGATATACCTCTATGCCAGGGTTGATGTTCGCTCTGAGACTTATATCCAGCCCCAATAGGTTCTAATACAAACGTACAATCGTTCAATTACTATTTCACAGACACTACGTATTATTAGTCTCAAAACTCGTATATAAATTCGCAGGCAAATTCTCACAGTTTAGTTAAATTTACTTCGACTCGAAAAATAAAAAATCCAAATACGAGTTGGGTTACAATCGATATTTTAGAGTCAATTGACTCAACAGACCACCAAACGCTGGCAGTCAAACAAGACACAGAAATAGAATGTGTAGAGTGTGCTTTGAACATATCCAACAATGTGTACATGAGTGAGTCATAAATTATTAAGTGACTGAGTTTACAATAAGAGAATAGATAGATAACTCAGTAAGTTAAATACAAAGCGTTAACCCGACCATCCGAAACTTTTGAGTTCGATCCCTGATGAAATCGTTAATACAGACCTTTAACAAATCCTAAAACTATAACAAAGGAATTGTTTTAGTCCTTATCGATTTTCAATAAGTATTTTCAGTCGATATGATGAAAAGTAATTTTAAGAAAATTAACTTAAATGCTACCGACCGGTCGAAGTGGTACATAAATCGGTACACCACCAGCCATTACTGTCATTGGAGTATAACAGTCAAACTTGGATCCATAATTATCACTTCATCATCAGGATTAACTAATGCTGAAATAGCCGTAAAAAGCGAACCATAAGCACCAACGGTAATAATAACTTCTTTTAAAGGATCAATTTCTCTGTCTGGTCCAAACGAGTCTACTTGAAGACTCCCAGATTCACCATACAGTTTACGATCACATCTTAAAAAACTTGTATACAGTTTAGATAATACATTCACTAAACGCGGATGACCCTGAAAAAAAGAGAAAAATGCATATTTCAGAAAAAAACTATCAGTGAAGCATAATCGTCAACGAAATCAACGAATGAAAGGGAAGTAAGATATACAATCAATATGAAGTCGGTCTCAGTAGTGCAGTTGCATTCATTTTATTATCTTTTTGAGAATTTAAAGATGCGTTATTCCATACTTCTCATTCACTGATCTCATTTTTTCTCTTGTAGAGAATTGAGATGGAGTTGAAATTTACTACTCTTATTTACTTCATAATCAGGTTAATCCAACCCCCCCCCAAAAGCTCTCATTGTGCTAATGTGAGGTGTAACCACTAAAAGCAAAATATATTTGTCAAAGCTCCTACCTGAATGATCGCTTACTTCACTGATAAAATAAATACACCATCACGGTGATAAATACATCAAACTGAAACAGTTCACCATCAGTTTTAATCTAACCCGCTTGGTCAATTCAATCACAATAAGGGCACTATGATTGACGAACTCCCTCTAAACATTAGGTTTCATCATTATTATCAATATATTGAACTCTTTATTCCTAAAATTCCACTCATATCTTTTGAACTACGCTTCCCATGTTTATTTTATCAAGACTAATGATATTTTTCTAGTGTCGTTGCTTAGAAAAAATTAAAAGATTGAACAATTAATTCCATAACCACAATCACATTCTCCTTACTGTTCTTTTGTTAAAATGAAGTTTTATTATCTATCAAGTACATGTAAGAACTATTACATAACTCCTCAACAAAGCATATCATGAAGGTAGAAACTGGGAGAACTTTATACGTAATCCAACCATTTCAATTAATGAAGATTTATAATCTCCTACTCATCAATAGACAAATGAATGCAACTAATAATCAGTCTTAATCAGTCATCAGGCAAACCCCTTCTAAACTCTGTTTATTAATCACTGTTGAATGGTTAAATATGTATAAACTTAAATACGACATCAACAATGTGTAATGCGATTCAGTTTAAATATTACACAACAGATCGAGGTGTAAAAATACTTCGTAGTAGAACAAAACCTACATCTTTTTTAGGAACTAATTGGTACAAACAGATTGATTATGAAAACATGATCAAAAATCAGCAAATATCGATCCAATAATCAAAACTTACGAACTCAAATTCAGAGTTTCATTAGACTATCAAACACATTTGTCAATGAAGTCATGACATAACAGAAAAAGTATATTTCAGGAATAATTAATTTACTTACCATAGATCTAGTGTATTGATGAAGAAATGGGCTAACATCGGGTTTTCCAAGCATGGTTAAACTTTCAAGAACATGTTGTTTTGGAAGAATGTCCGGAAAACCCTATAAATTACGATCAAATTATTGCTTCAGAACAGGAATTAGAAACAATTGTTTACGTTATATATATGTATATACCACGATCACTTAAGGATAAGGGGTATATTCAGTAATAGCATTTAAAAGTTGGCGGTTGGTTGGCTATTAGTTTACTACCTCCCCATATCATGTTGACCGAAAAGTAACACACAATCGTCTATGAAAGAAGACTAAAACAGTAAAAGGGAGAGGAAGAAACGTAACAGCACTGCTAGAATGTGTACACATTAAGCGTTAAATCTAAACATCACAACATTGAAAATCATTCTAAGAATGTTACATAGCTGGCTTTATCGAAAAATATGTGTATTTCATACAACGATATTAATCATTTGACATATAATAGATGAGATCTGGCTAACAGTGGAATAAAGGATGTGTTTCGTCCAATATTTGACTCGTCAGCTAGATGTACTTGCATCCTGGAGTTGCTGCTAAGTCAGGGACTCGAACCCAGTACCGTTCACTTCGAACGCTAAAGCATTATTCACTTGACTACTGAGTTCAGATAGCCACTGACTTACGAAACCCGGTCTCGGAATGAGCACAAACCCTGGGATGCAAGTATATCTACCTGATGAGTCCCGAATAGGGCGAAACATGCATTCTGGATTCCACTGTTAGCAAAATTATATTTACCATACATTAAATTGTGCTACAATAGCTAGGTGATTCGCACAGGATGTAAATATTCCAACTCAGACTGATCAAATTACAGTCAAAATATCAACAAAGGGATAATCGAAACCATTTTACATTGAAAGAAGTCTGGTTAGTTTTATTTTTCAATTAACAGTAGAAGTTACCTGACCTAAATTGACCGGTTTGTATTTAGCCACTGCATGATTAATTTCCACCCTGTTCAAAAGAATAAAAAATTAATACAATTACAATAAACGATTAAAATATAACTTAGATTACAAGTAAATGAAACAATAATGATAGGTACAAAAAAGCAAAGGTTTCATCGTGAATAGATAACTAGAAAAAGAGGTACTCTGAAAGTATGAAGTGTAGGAGTGTTGACTTGCGGCAGTGCACTTAGGATCAACTTCTGAGAGTTAAAGTAAAGGCCTACACTGAGAGGTAATGATGGAATAGCATAATACGTTAGGTTATAAATAGTAAGATGAAACCACAGCATTACTTCGTGAAATGATTATTAAAACAAATCATATCATGAGCAACCACGAGTCACTAAGATCAGTGCGCACATCGCAAATTTTGGTCGATCGAGTTCACTCAGCATTAAAGATTAGGCAAACATAACGTTAGTCACTACAAAGTAATCAATTCATATACATCTTAATAGTGAATGCTCAAAGCTTTAAATCCAGGTTCATAAGTTTAAATTAGCTAACAGAGAATACACTCTTGTATTTGCACACTTTTATTGCAATTATCAAAACTCGGTCAAATATTAAGAATATGAACAAGTTGGTGAAAGTTAACGAGTTTCTTTTTAAACCAAAGAACATTTCAAATGTCTAGTTGAATATATAGATACATACCAAATACTGGGTTTTTGCTTCAAAATACGAGCAGCTGGAAGAATCATAGCAGATCGTGTTTCATTAAGCTTATCTGTACAATTCTCTTTAGCCTAATTAGAATAATAAAACAGAAAAGATATGCCATTAATAATATTACACTAATACACATAGATAGTCAATAAATTAGTACATATGATTATTAATAAACAGCCAGACAAACAATAAGAGATCAGGAAAATACTTATACTGAATAATGTTTACAAACATCAGTAATCCAAAAGTCATATTAACTGACCACATATACATGAAAGGATAGATGTTTACAAATTAAGACTATTATTCATTACCGAGTCAAATTCGTGTTTTGCATAATCTCAGTAGGTTTTTGATCACTGCAACTGTCATTTTGTAGTTGCTCGAGACAATCTTCGGAAATCAAAATTGTTTACGATAAATATGCCTAAGTTTCTCAATCGACACATAATTAGTCGTTAACAGGTTTGCTAATTGCATGTTGTTACAAACTTATCAACTTGGATAAACGCGCTGTGATGTTTATGACTTTTCTTATTGAAATTAAAAGTCGATGTTGGTTGATACTAATCACAAGCTACAGCGATTATTTTGCTCAACAGCTGGCAATGAGAGTTGATCAAACTCATATTTTGTAAGAACAGATAACACAGCCATTCAAGCTATTTTACTACGAAAAAATGCAGCCTTAGCTGTTTTTTATACATTCCTTTTAACTTTTCCTATTTCACCCAACTATTCTTTTCTAGACATAGCTCGCTCTTTGTAGCATCGAAAATGCCAAGCATTCTGTTAGTTGCCTTGTACCACAGTTCAAATTTATTAATGATAATTTCGGGTGGTGATCCGTCCAATGTCGATTGGCTTTTTACTAATATATCAACAATCGTACAAATTTGTTACAACCAGTTTTCTTCCTTCCACATAGATTATTAAAAAGAGAATAGTATAAGCTTACGAAAATATTAATTTGCTTAATAGACTTGTTAGTTGTGAAAAATAAAACTACACAGTAGACTGAATCATCCATCGTTTTGTGTTTTCTGCAAATTATGAGTGCAACCTTTCTTATATTGATAAATTAAACACGATCTTGAAAGGTGACCTAGTTTCTTTTGAAAATTTTTGTCACGTAACAGGCAACGAGAATTTCAACCAACTGGTTTAAGTTAAACAACTCAGAAATAATTTAATATATAAAAGATGAAATGTGGCTATCAGTGCAATCTAGAAAGAGTATGTCATCCTAGTTGGGAACTGTTAGATCAATGTACCTGAATCTCAAAGTGGAATTCGAGTCCCGGGACATCAACTCTGGGATACAGGTACACTCATTTGACGAGTAAAAAATAAGGCAAAAACGCATCCTGGATCCTATTCCTAGTCACATTGCATCTACTCTATATTAACTTGTGTCACTATAGCTATATCGAGGAAATTCGCACAGAATGCACATGTGCCAATTAAGACTGGTCAAATGTCAGTCAAAATATCAACAGGATAATCCAAACCACTTCAAATGTAATCAGAAATAACCATAGTTACGATCTTAAAATCCGAACCAGAGAGAAGATAGCTGCTTAAGAAAATCAGAAATGTTCTAAAGAACTAAAACATGAATGAAAATCAGTTCGTGCCTAAGTTTTATACAGCTATGCTTCAATATTTTTGAAAGTATAGGCACTACATGGTTGATAAAAATGACAGAACCAACTGATTTAGTTGAAAATTCGAAATTCCATACTGCTGTCCAGTTATTCGTTATGAGTGAGGATCTAACCTTCTATCATTCCATTTAATAGAAATAATTAAATCAAGTTTGAAGCAGGGCAGAGTTTCGTATCAGCCTAGTTCGTTCTTCTGGCTCTAGAAAAGGCGGTAAGGATAAATCGATGGGCAGATGAATTAACTGATAAATCAACAACTTGAGATAATGAAAGCAATTAACATGTCATAATCAACAATAACATTCGTACCTGCCCATTCACTAATGAACAATGCACTTTTTCGATCAAGCAGTCAATTGCGGGGTTAGTGCGTAGCATACCGTGTATCAGTATCAGATTTCGGATACCGCACGTGCCCTTAGAATTTATCATTAAGGTTAAAGAAAGAAAAACTACAGACGGCGGTCCATATTATAATTTATCATACTAATTCGATTGTCAATCTCAAAAGTATTACATTTCGAATAATAAAAGAAATAATATGCAGATTATTTAGAAAGAAATGATGACTTTTTGCTCAACATACAAATAAATCGAAGTCTTTCTCTAACACGTTCACAATGTCTAAATGATATTCATTCATGAAAGCAATAAATAGAATGATTTGTAAATACGATTTGGCGGTACCATAGATGAGTGGAGAATATGACCAATACACACACACATTCACAAACATGTCGAATCAAAACAGTTTGAGCACTGAACAAAACAAGGAAACGACTGAAATAAATGAAATATTAAAAATAAACAATTGTTTTAGAGTTTTTATTGAAATTTCAAATATTTATTAACCATGAGGTGTGGATTAATACCAGGAATATGACCAACATATACAAACACTTTATAAATTCAGTAGAAAATACTATTTACAAAGAAAATGCACGAGAATAATAATAATAAGAGTATATTTAAATTGAGTAGAAAAGCAACTGATAATTATAAACAAAATAGAGTATACAGGATTCTTATTGTCAGTTTACTACTATTGCTATTATTACTACTGGATGTTATCATATCGACAATGAAAGCCCAATACTGATTTGTAGAAATACAAATACAAGCGAACAAATGATGGTTCCGTTGATGAGTATACATGAAACAGAAACTTTATTGTTACTTGACTCTCTTCATTCTCTTGTGAGATTTTTCTTTCATATGTTTTTTGTGCTTCTTATGAACTGATGATGTTGAAGGTGAACGATTCAAAGAAGATCTCCTGCTACCACTACTATAATGCTTATTTCTTTTAGATTTTCTATGACTGTGATATTCAGATAGATGGGAATTTTTATAATTATTTTTAGACCGAGATGAATGATGATGCCCTATTGGAGAAGAGGACCGTGAATGTGAAGAGATTGAGTTAGAGGAATGTCTTCGCGTTTTACGTCTATCATGATGGTGGTGATGACGATGGGTAAGAGATGAAGAGTCGTTGGAAAGTGGTCTAAAATGCAGAAAAGCAAACAGAAATTAGAAGTTGAATGAAAAGTGCTTGATATCTCCAGTTAATAATTGGTAACAGCTTGACAATTCACAAAGATACTTAACACTTAATAGCATTGAAATTTCACGTCCTCCATTCCACCACGTTTAAATCCACCTAAACAAAAAATTCTCCGTAAGTGTCAACAACAAATCGAGTAATTTTGACAGTGTAATAAGAAGACGAAGATTATCAGAACTGTGACATATTAGCGCAATACATTTCGAACAATCTGATCACATATATACTTGTTAAGAACATTTATATAGAAAAATAAAAGGTCAACTAGACTAAAAATGAAGGGTAAGAGGAGATAATGATAATATTAGCTTATTATCCAGAGTGATGAGGCTTCAAGATGTTTTCACATTATTTCTTTATTATCCTTGTCTCCTCCTACCCTTCATTTCTAGTCTAGTTGACCTTCTATTTTTATATATAAATGTTCTTAACAAGTATATGTGTGATCAAATTGTTAGAAATATATTGCGCTAATACATCGCATAGTTCTGATAATCTTCATCTTCTTATTACACTGTCGAAACTTATCAAACGGACTAATCCCTAAAAGCGTTTCGGCATAAATCGAAATCCTAACCCGTACCATCAACTATAAATCATAATCCTTATTCTTCACACTGCTTTATAACCCTCATTTATCTCTAGTTAGTGGGTGGATATTCTCAAGGTCACTCTGGCACTGCCCAAAGGTCGTCCATAAATTATGGTCTCACCTTGACTTTTTTATGGAACATAAATTTACCCCGAAAATCTAGTTGTAGTGAACGAGAACACCAATGAGGATAGCCGAATGAATTTTAATACGACGTTACAGAATATCTTAGTAAAATCTGAGAACCGTATAGTAAATACTTCATTTGCAAAATATATATCAATTGTCTCATACTTTGCTATTCGTTCGTTTCCAATCACTCATTGTTCTCGTTCTCTTCTCTTCTATTTTCTCAACCTTATGCCTCCAGGTATTCCACTTTCGGTTGGTGATACATACTAGTTATATCTGTCGACATCAGTGGCACATGCCACACTGTCTTCTCTACTAGCCATGTGGATTATCAACGTTGAGGCGTTGTTATGTATTAGACATCTGGTCTATTCGAATTACCATCAGTTGGGTTATATTATAAGAATATTCAAACTTATGTAAACAGAATTTACCGTCGATCAAATATCGATATTTCACATACAGAATAGATATGTCTGATATAATAATTAGCAAGCATAGAAAGCATAACAGTATTAACACCAATTTTCATAAACTTAGAAAATGATGTATATCGATTCACTTATCAATATTGACCACAAGCAATCAACACGTAAATTAAAATAAATAAGCACCGAATGCACTTTCTTATAGTCACTCTTACCGATAATAATTACAGTGGAAATTAAACGACTATTTATAAAAAATTATTTATTGTTGGATTGGGAGTGAGCAATATGGCTATAGCAAATTCCATATTTTGATAATTTTTGAGAAATAAGGAATTTTCAGAAAGTGTTATGATTTCGTGACAAACAAATGTAAAGTTAATAACTAGTAATCATTCAAAAATAAGCTTACTTTACTGTAGAAGAACGTCCACGATCACTGTGACCATTATTAACCACCGGACTAATAAGTCGACCTACATGACGCCATAAAGTTTTTTGTAGATCATTACTGGTTTCTCCAGGGTTAAGAAATACATGTAGAAAATTACAATGAAGGTCTCCTTTAGGACATTTACCTCGATGATAAAGACCTGAACAAATAAGTAAAGATAAGACTGATATTTATTACTGAATTAAGAGGATAGGTTTTGTTGTTATGATATAAACGGAGAAATGAAACTATCAAAACGTGATACTACAATTTTGTTATAAACAACACTTCACGAAACGAATGATTAACACTCCAATATCTAATTGTATACAGATTTCTCTCGATTGATAGTACTAGACATTACACAAACCTAATATGTATGTGTTAACGCAACAGTTGATCCAAAGTTACGATCATTACAATTAGTTGCCAACATTTGCTCTTCTTACTCTGAAATGATTATGAAGTATAGAATGACTGGTTGAGCAACAACAAGCATAAACTACACGACTTTGAACTATTTTCAATTGTTAAGACTAAATATACGGAGATCTTCAAAAAGAATTTAGTTACACAAGTATTTAGTCAATAACAGTGCGAAGTCAATCAGTAGCCATAAAAACAATGTCGATGGTCTAAGTACAAATCAGTAACTTATAATCCAGTTGCATGACAGTTTATTTCATGCACAAAATGAAGTCAACTACTCAAATATTTACGATAAAATCAATAAAAAGCTAATGAGATAAATTAATTTCTAGGATAATTATTCTCAGTGTCAAATCTGTAGCACACATGTCTTCCCCCCTTGTCCTTCTTTGTGCATTATTATAATACGTAATAATCTTCAGTAGTTCATGTTACTACCATCTATTTTTGAAAGCCGGTGACGAGCTGGTAGTCACTAAAGTTAGTATAATTATATTTATCCAGTGTTTCGACTTATTTTCTCACTCGTAACTGAGTTGCTTTCCTGAAACCTGAAGAGCCAGTACAACCATCATACTAATGTACAGGTGTTTATAAACAGTTGTTTACCCAAGATACTTCAGATCCGTTGACCGGACACCATCAGAGATAACCTACTGTAGCAAAGAACAAACCAGCTCCAGCTGAAAGGGAAGTTACGAAATGATGCTGGAAGTGGATAGACCCCGTTATATGGAAATCATCAAGCTCTATCACAAGCCAAGCCGCAATTTGGAATCTTCAGGACAAAAGAGGAGATAGGCTAAAGAAAATGTGGCGCCGAAAATCGGAGGCAAACACCAAAAGAATGAATAGCACTTGGCGACAACTGGAGAGGAGAGCCAAAGATAGAGTAGGCTAGACATCCCTAATTAGAGGCCTATACCCCACGAGGAGTAACAGGCATCAGTAAGCACATATATTACACACTGAAACTATTTACACTGAATAGCCCGCCTACCCTGAATATGTTTGGTTTATTTCGTTAATTCCTAATACATGTGTGTTGTTCTCTAATTAATAGTACGTGTCGTAATTTAGTCCTTTGGAGGACAAACCTCACTTTTGACTGTATTCCTGAATGCGTAACCGGTATCTGGACACCATACATTTTGCGGTCAGTTAACTTCATTGGTAATTTTCATACAACCACCCCCCGCTTGATAAATTTGGACAGTGCAAGAACAACAAGGTCAGCAAAATAAAATGAATTCATTTTATTTCACAACTTATCACCTGAGTTCCAAACAGGCTAAATTTACAAGGTGTAGTATGATTGTAAACAAAAGTTTAGACGTTTTCGAAAGAGAACTGAAATTTATAAAAGGTACAGAATACAAAATATAGTATCAAATAAAGTTAAGATAGGTTTTTTGGAAACAGTCGGTTTTTACTGTCTTTAGGATGACCCTTTCTATACTTAGCAATAAACTTCTTTAAGTATCCATTTTTTTTTTGAGGTTCGTTTAAATAAATGCTAATTTATCATTTATTCTGTAGTTTGGACAAAGCACCCTATCTTCATAAAATAGCATTTTAACCAGAAATCGTTTGCAACTTGAATAAATAAACTCATTTTATTCTGCGAACCTTGGCGTTCTTGTGCTGCCTAAACTTACTGGTTAAGTTGTTTTCTTTAATAGTACCGTTTCCAAAAAAAATCCTGTATTTTGATATCGAGAACTTCAAGTATTATTTGTCTACTTGATCATTATCATGGAAGGAATTCTATACTTAGCATGATAATAAAATATGTATATGAAAAAATATGGAAAAGGACACTGTTCAACTCACCACAAATAGCCTCTCTCCAACCACCGCCCAATCTAACCACAGTACACGTTAGTTGACGTCCAGCAAACCAACGACCATTGCAAGCTTCAGCAGCATCCCATGCTGCACTTGGACCCCTTGAGAATTCAACATAAACTGCACCACGAAGATGATCAGCTAAATTACGACATGTTCGAATCACTGAAATTTTGCCCCATCTAGATTCTAATTCCATACGAACATCATGGTAGAATTCATGATAATCTGAGAGTAACTGACTTTCATCTACTTCAAGACCAGAATCTAAAATTTTATTATTTAAAAATAAATTTAATTAATCCGTAATTACAATTAATGTGCATGAAACCTAAAACCTATAATGCTATTTCTTATTAATGAATGACTAAAACCACATCTAGTTTTTGGCAGCTTAGTAATCAAAATACTTGACTTTCAATCACAATAGGTTGTAGGTTCGAACCCTTCCTCACCTAATTAGATTTCGACAGCTAAATAATGGTATTGGCCTTGATACATATAAGTCTGTATTCGATAAGTGAGTTAAATTGTCTATATTATTCATAAATTCTGCCTAAACACTATATTTGTTAACTAAATTATTTTACCATTAAAATAAAACTATTCGTTGAAAGTACCGAGTATAGAGTATAATCTACCCGGCCTACTTACAAATTACCATTTATTTTGTGAACATTCCACAGTATACAAACCATTGATGATGCACTACAACATGCTGGATCGTTAATAGTCCTATGTATATTTAACTATTTATCATATATGGCGTAATCCTAATATAAATTAATGTAAACAAACAGCAAGATACACTCAATATAGGAATTATGAAGATTGTGGAGTCCTTTTGAGATCACGAATCGACCAAAGTAAAAAAAAACTGTTGGAAATCTAGAAGTACTAGATAGCCCTATCGTCCTTGAACTCCCCAATAGTGAGCATCCACGACTCTGTCATAGAGGACGAAACCAACGGCTTTCAGTCTTGTGTGCAAACGAGTAAATCCGACATTTTTAACAAAAATTTGCCTTCAGTAGGCAATAAAATCACAAACCTTGATCCTCTGAACCGGTATTTTTTGTTAAATCTAAATGATAGTGTGTGAACATTTTAGGAATTTGTAAAACTAAACAAGAATTATCTATTGGTTCGTCTAAGCCACCAACATCTTGATCATCAGCAATATTGAACGATTCAATAGTATCGTCATATGGACTTGGATATTGATGAAGACGAGAACAACTACAATGAATGAGTGAAGAGAGGAAAAAACGAAGTATAACCATTCTTGGCATTGATTTGTAACAACTTGAATGAGTAATATAAATAAACATGAACGAATAGTAAACAATATGCTCAATATTAGAGAAAAAGAACCCACAAATGTGTTGCAAGAGAGATCAATATTCTGAATGTTATAGAAAAGAAATATTTGATAACATAGTAAATGAAATATGGCTAGCAATAGAATCCAGATTGAGAGTTTCATCCTATCTGGGATTCGACAGTTGGGTGAACATGCTGTGTTGATATTCTGAATGTTAAGAGAACACAATTTCATCCCTTTATTATCTATCATAATCATTGAAAAAAGGTGTGAAAAAGACTATTAACACATTTATTTTAACCCATCTAGTCCAATACACACAATTTAGTCCTTTTCAATAATCTGACATGTTAACAGTAATCTGTTGAGAACGGATAAACTCTAAATTTAGTAAATGGCAACAGCAACATCTTTGATAACTTTTTAAAACAAAGTTCTGCAACCAAAAAGAGGCATGTACAACTACTTTCTTTACAATGGCGAGCCTCTAACATTCATTTAAAATATAATAATATATATAAAAGGATGCCATCATACGCGTAGTGTATACGAGGTGTATGCTACTTATGCCTGTCGACATAAGTAGTACATAACACCAATCAGGAGTAGAAGGCCTGGCAACAGAAGGTTGGGAAGATCAAATAAAAAAGAATGGGGACAGAGAGTAATTGTTATGGTAATGAATGAATGATGAAGTTTGAGACATTTGATGCAGGATTTGCAAATGAAGTATCGGACGTATAGTTCATTTTACCAAGAACATTTGGTTGTCCTCATCTGTGTTCTTGCTCATTACACACATATCTTCTTTCCCTTTTGATAAATCAGGATAAGTTGAGTTAACGCTTTATCCAACTCGGTGTAACATTTTATGACATGTTTTGTTTTCAGTGTGACATTTTATTCATTATGATATTGGGGTTATATTTTCCAGCACAATATTGCTTCAGGTAGATATATTTGAAACAATTAGCTATAAATTTCGTTCAATATGACAGGGGTGAACTTCCGTTCTGTTCCTACACCTTTGAAATAGTTATCTCATTTTATTTTCTATTAGCATGGGGATTTGTGGCGTTTATAGCATTTTCACATTTGAAATCATGAGTCAATCTCAGATAGACCACCATAGAAAACCCAAAAGAACTAGACGGCCGTTTCGTCTTAGTATAGGACTCCACAGCAGTGCACATTCACAATCCCACACCAGAAACGCGAACACAGAACCTTCGGTTTGGCGCGCGAACACTTAACCCCTAGACTACTGAGCCAACATCCAGTAGTGTCAATTTCTAATTTTAATCAATCTATGATCTTGCTTAACCCTTCATCCTAATTCATACATAAGGTGATCTCTGTTCACAAAATCTGGACTGTTTATCTAATAATATTAATACTCCCCTCACGCGACGGCACGTACAACCTGATTCAAGCACATGTTCTGCACTAGTCATTTGGATATTTAAAAAAAACATTAAAAAGCTTATTTTAGTGAAGTAAAAATTCTTATTTAGATATTCATTTTTCCTAAAAAAAGATGAATAGAGAGAAGTAATACTTTTTGCAGTTATTATAGTGATATGTGGTGTCCGAGAGTTGAAACGCAATCTTCCTATGCACGAGTTCAATCGGGTAGTCGAATGAAAGGACTGAAAGTGAGAAAGTTTACTGACTAACGCAATCAGCCTTTATATATACGCATATGTAGGCCACCGGTAGTACATTTCATTTCTAGTAAATGTAAGCTATTTCTTGGACGAAATAACGTACATTTATCATTCGACTGACTACTGACTGACTTAATGCATCGATCAGTCTTTCATCATGGTCATATATAAATGTCTTACAAGCATGACAAAATCAGTATCAATCAAGTGATGATGTGTTCGATAACCATTATCATTAAAAAATCAAAAGTATTCATAAAAATGATGACAGTGTACTATGAATAGAGATATACCACGGACTACAAGTCACGCATAAACAGATGTCACTCACAGAAAACCATATCGACATGCTCCTGTTTTACGGAAAAAGCTACATTTTTCCATCACTGTAGAAACAGTGGGACCATATGGCACTTGCTCAATTACTGTAGGGATAGGTACGGGTGGTGGGGAAGATGCCAAGGTGGAAGGTCTGGAGACTGCTGTTCATGAACATCCTAAGAAATGAAACCAATATTTCTATGAATGCGTAAAAGTTAGGTAATCAACATGATGTATAAACATCTCACATTAAGTATCATGCTTAGATTTGCAAATACACATCACAATATTGTATGTTTTCATTCATGACGTCTAGTTTATTTCTTCGCTCCCGGTAGCTTATCAACATCAAACTACTCGTTCAGAAAGACGATAGTTGCTAAGGTAACTGCTACAAAATAACTCACAAAGTACTATTGTGACTAGTACTAAACGAGAATCTGATGATAAAATAATAAAAGTTTTATTTCTGAAATTGTACCAGAAATAAGTACAGTGTATAATAGTTATATAACTGTTCATGTTGCGGATTTTCTAGAAATCTTGATCAAACCAAACAAGATTAATTGAAAATATCGTGATGTCATGTTCAGTGCAAATTTAGGAACTAGGATCTCTTTACAGGTTATTCTAAAGATGACTACACGAAGAACATAAAAATATTTTGTTATTAACTATGACAACAAAGTAATAATATATCCGTCTGATCAATATAACGAAGTATTATCAAAGGATACTTAGAAAAAAGCTCCGTGTTCAACAAAATACAAAGTAACTAATAAGTTCTATGTCGGAATCCACGTACTTTATTTATCAGTGAATATTTTATGACGATTGTAACTCAATGTAACAGTTGGAGCATAGTTGAACTTTACTCCAAACTCCGGGACGTACAGCCTCCAACCAGAACCAGTCGAACCCATTTGTATTACAAATTTTATTATTCGAATTATTAATATGTTTATCCAAAAAAACAAATACTTCCCTTTATTCATGACTAAGGTTGTATGTTAAGAAAATTTTTCGGTAACAAGACAAACACCAAAAGCTATATATATATATATATATATATATATATATATATATATATATATATATATATATATATATATATATATATATATATAAGTATACACGGAAACAACCTTTCTAGCTATTTTTATCACGGGTGCTCACTTTACAACAGTCATCTTATTCCTGAGATCAATAAAAGTGTATATCTGCTCTCCTCATTTTAGTACTTGGATTTCCAAGTCATGAGTGTTCAGGTGTATGGCTGTCACTAGTAAATTGAATCGGATCCTAACCAGAGAAAGCCTTAGAACACTAAAGTAATTGAGTGTTAAGAAAACTTGTATTAGATAATACTAACCTAAATTAACGTTCCGATTGACAATCTGTTATCGTAAAATGGTTATCACCCAGAAAATAAAATCTTTCCAAACAAGAGAGTCATATCAAGCTCACAGAGTAATATTATGCAATCGTGAAGTGACAGTTGACACTAACACTGGAATTTTCAGAATACATGACTAATGACTTAATCAGTTGAAGTTTAAAAGCAGAGAAATACGATTTTATATAAAGGCAATCCACTATCAATTTTGGATAAGTAATATGAACAACTTAGGGATAAACGTATTTCAAGTAAAGTACACATTGTTAGCATTTTCCATGGAAAATGCAAGTTTCACTAAGTTCATATTTAGAAAAAAAACACATGATTGACTGATAAAAATAACAAAGCAATTATGATATTTCATCATCGTGAAACAATGAGAGAGGATACGTTAATATTCTTGTGAATAAAAAAGAATGATAACCGTAAGAACTCCATGGAAAACCTGTGTTTTTGACTCAGGAATAAATTTCTTGGATTCCATTTGTTTGCTTTCCCACTCTGCTTTAATTTTACGCTGGAAAGAAAAAAGAGCAATATACTATATAGCAAACAAATATATCGGTAAACTGATAAATTGACACAATCACATTTTTATTAAAATAATTATGATTAATACACGCTTCGTACTGAAAGAAGTTAAATTTAACTCAAGCAGTCGTTTAGTACACATTAGATCTCATAGGAAATGTATGGCTAAAACCAAAGTATATTGATTAGATTATCGTTTTCGTCGAACAGCAAATAGGTTGTTAGACGCACGTCTGAGTAGCACACACTAACCAGTACCAACTCTGACGATAAAGGATACAACCAAACTCTATTAAAAATGATCAGCTCTAATAAAAACAAACGACAGTAATTTACATTTTCTTCAATTGACTAACTATTACTGCATAATGATGTTCGCCAAAATCAGATTATGGGCTCTTGTAGAAGTGGGGATTTGGGAGATTTTACATAACACACATGTATCCCTTTGTTACATGCAAAAGGATCGAGATGAAGAATCGATTTATGATAATTGATAGAAAGCCGAAAACACTGTAACGATATTGTAACTAACACAACTCATTTCAAGTCGTGATAATCCCAAATAGAAGCAATATGAAATAAATGTATCCTGAGGAGCTACTAGTGATGTGCTATATTTTACACAGAACCAGAGAACCGTTCAATACCAACACAAATCACACGAAATAAGGTCTTAATAGTAGTAAGTCAGCCATAAACAAGTTAATTTCGGGTATTGTTGGAGGGCGGTTGCCAAGTTCCAAGTGCAGTGGAAGTATATTTTTTCTCGAGAAACCTGAAAATGAAACTGGATCAGAAGTGACCACAGAGCACAGTGGGAAACTGCTTGGGGCCGGTCACACATGGCCATTTTATGATTCAGTCCCGTCACTTCAAGAGGTTTTACTTTCGGAGACGGAAATCCGTAGGATAAGGTGGGGTGCAACATTTTCGAGGTTGGCCATTTCTAACCCTTTCCTTTCTTCGTGAGGAGTCAGAATCGCTGCAGATGCTGGGTGTCACACCTCTGTACAATCAGCAGTACCACTTTGCCCGCAGACCTTAAGTTTCCGTTTTTACTCTTACCTTCAACTAACCTTCCTGGTATGGAACGGCCTAAAGGAACAATCGTTCCAACCATTATAACTCGATTTGGTCATTACAATGGGCAAAATTAGCCATCATGTCACGGTAGCAGCTATGGTCAGGATAGTAATAAGCAGTCTATAAACTACTAAAATTATTAATTACTATACGCTAAATCAATTTACCCAAACTTTACGAGTCGATAAATTACTTCCTGTTCCTGCCTAGAATAACAAAAACCGTTTTTATCCACAAAACACCACAATTTTGACTATGAATCATATACGACGAAACATAATTTACTGATTATATTGGAACGATTATAAGTGGTAAAACTTTTCCCAAGGTAACACGATAATCACTCACTCAATATAATAGTTTTCTTGAAAGGAAAACCAGATTTGGATCTCCTAGTCACTTACGACGTATTCAACAGATTGCTATAAAAAGTTTTATTTTCAGAATACTGACGGTGAATTGACTAACTACGTTAAAGTTCGCGGTAAAGCTTTCCATAAGAAGTGGTAAAAGCGCATAAAATCCGAGACGCCCGAACTGAAAGATTGGTCTGTTCCGAATATGACTTACAAATTTCAGTTAAACCAGTTTGATAAAAATAAGAAATTAAGACTTTTTCCAAAACAAATAGATGCTTTTTAGTGAAGCTACAAGTAATTAAAAGTCCCTGACATACAGTTAAAGTTTAACTGGTGCGATAACTCGAGTGGAAAGGCATAACTAAGATCGTTCATGTCCAGTTAAGTAAGAGGGTACTATTAATTTTTATTATAAACTAATAAAACTGATTTTTAACTAACACTTAATGTTAATTACAATATGGCTAAATGTTAGATTACCCTTGCGATAAAAAGTGAAATTCATTAACATACAGATTCATGGATATTGTGACCTAGGCTTTAAATACTACTTGGCTGTCTGAATATAATTGAGGTACGGTGCAAATAACAATTTGCTGAAGGTGATTTTAACTCAGTTTACTCCAGCAATAAATGAAAGGTTTAACGACTAACCAATTAACCTAAAAAAGAAATCTCACCAACTCCGATGAGCTGATGGCTAACAAAATCTCAGCATGGATACAAAATGCCTGTGGGATTTAGCCATCTGAGACTCCCAACTGGGATAGACGAAATTCTAATGCCATTGAAATCATGAACCGATTAATGTTAGATCACCACTAAGACCTGGAAGAACTGGACGGCTGTTTCGTTCTAGTATGGGACTCCTCGGCACTGCGTACTCACGACCCTGCACGCGGAAGCCGAACGCAGGACCTCAGATGTTGCATACGGACGCTTAACCTCTAGACTACTGAGCCGCCATCCAAACCAGTTAATGTCTGACTGTGAACAATAGTCTTCTGAGGTGGTCGTACGTACACATAATCATAGGCTACCCAAACGTATAATGCTGACCGACAAAACAGTGGATCGTAAAACTGTAATAAATGGTGCGAATAAGACAATGACTGATCGACTGACAGACAACTGTGATGTGGTGTGGATGTCTAGCTTAGGATTCAAAAGATAATTGTAATCTATAGTTGTAAAACGCAGTTAGCATCGCTCAAAACTAACTTCAGCGACATAGGAGTATTTTAGTTGTTAACTTCCTTTAAATATTGAGGATATTATAATCTCACAGGTTGAAATCATGAGTCAACCTGTGAAATTTCCTAAAATCTCCACAAAACTCATTCTCATATTATAATCGCAAACTCTTCATTTATTTGTTTTGAGATCTATATCAAAACCTTGCCCAATCGATCTGAAGTATAACACTAACAAAACATGGAAATAAAATAATTATGGTCATAACACACATCTAGCTTAACCAAATAAGAGTTGGAATGGTGAATACACAAATTTTGAAGGCCAATCTCCTAACATTTTAGCATCTATTATATACATGAACGTTGAAATATATATGTACTTGTATTAAGATAATTTAACAAGTTGAATATATTATGAAAATATAGAAATAGGCCACAATAATGGTAGATTTCATATATTATATACACTAGTGCGTGATAAAAAAAGAGCTATTAATAAAAGTCGATATGCTTATACCTGAGTCTCCTCCTCGCGTTGCTTTAAGAGGATTTTTTGACGATTATTTTCTTCCCACTGACGTTGTGCCTCCCTCTCACGTTCTTGCCAAAGTTCCTCATTACGCTCACTATAAAAAGTTACATTATAGTTTAAATTGTACCGCTCTTTGGCTTCAAGTGCGGCTAACTCCAACTCCTTAGCCTGTTGTGCTTGATAAGATGGAGAAAGTTGGAGCCGACTTAGCTCTGAAATAACGTAAAGAAATAAAAAAACGTAGTATACCTTCGATCTCCCTCTCGATATTTTCCTTGGCTAATTTTTGACGTTTACGCTTTCTTTTTAGCTTCTTAAGAAAAGCACGTCGGGCACGATGTCTGATCATAAGCAAACCAATCATGAATCAAGCACATACGACATGTGAGACAAATCCATTATCCGTTAGACATTTATTGTTTGCGATTCATTGGGAACGAACCGAACAATCGGATGAATCTAATTCGGAAATTTGTTAAAAATAGAAATAAATGCAACTATATATATTGTGCGAAGGTTGATAACACTGGCCAGCCAAACAAATGATTGTGAGAAAATTTGGCTTAATGGCTTAGTTTAGTCAGGAAAACGTCATAATAGCAACCTTGCCATTAATAGGCATGTTGATATTTTCTGATTTGAGCTGTCAGAACTGAAATCAATGCATTTTCACCCAAGGGTTCAGATTGTTGTTTCCGGCTACTTTTTTGTAGCGAATATTCAGACGAAGATGAGGATTGCAGTGTAATAACTAAGGTTTGCAGTAATTCATTAATACGTAGTCTTCAGTGTGAACAGCACTAATCACAGTTTGGCAATTAGTGCACACATGAATCGCCTAGTCATAATGAGCATACAATAGTATAAAACAACAGAAAAAAATAATGTTAGTCGTTCATCTGCCAAAAAACAATCATCTCTATTATCTACGGTCTACATTGGTAGTTCTCCATTGAGTTGAAAAAGGAGTGCATTTTTCCACGTTTCGAGATATTCAACTTTCGTTGCGCTAATCATAACAAAAGCTTAAATTAGAACTTATTTTGACCGCTTTGAGAAATATATTTGCGAAATACATTTCTACACGATAATCACTTCGGCTTTTACTAGTTGACTTCTTTTTATACATATCTGTATATTCATAATTACCTAAAGTTAGGTTTGGTAATATTTTCGGCAATGTTGACTTAACTGCCGTTTCGGTACATTTCGGGTTACTCTGGTAATGGTAATTATTTTCCACTTTTCGTTGTGTTTTTCAAACTTTTTCTCGTTTTATCATACCCGTCAAAATGTTCATTCAAAGCTATCGATATGTTGAAGATGGCGTGCAGTAAAATGTCGTAAAAGATGGTCCCATAAAGTCCGTGCCAATCTATCACCGGCCACGTGTAAACTTCGCTCAAAACCACTTTCAACCTGGTTAAGTGAAAAATGATACCTAACTAAGGTGATTCTCCCAAATGAATTCATGCAACTTTTCATCTTGATAAAGAAATTTCGAAATGACGATGCCTCCTCGAAGAACCTGACGTTGCACGAGGAGACTATGAGTGTGATCGCTAGTGCCATCAACCTAGCTCTTACTTTAGATAGAATGGTTGCGACTTCCATTGTCAATACGCTTGAAGAGAAGAAACTCCTGTCCATATTATTGTTACGCATAATCGTAAAACGTCTTGCTTTATCAGAACTAAGAATCTATTATCCATCGAAAATGCACCCCCGACCGTTGTTGCTACCTTGACGTGGTGGTCGGGCTTGCCTATCGTGATGAAGCAACCGAGCTATACTGGCTGGAACAACCGTTCCTCAAGGTCCTACCATGTCAGACAGGTCGGTTGAAGAGCGGTAAGACTAAAAGCAACAAACCCAAGGTCCGAAGGCGAAGTCGTACTGCTGACTGTACAGAGGTGTGACAGCAGTAAGGTGTTTCCTTCAGACAACCAGCATGACAGCGATGCTGCCTTCCCACAAGGAGGGGTGGGGTTAGAAAAGGTCGACCCTAAAAATGCACACCTCGCCTTATCCCACGGATATCCGTCTCCGGCGGTAAGGTCTCAATAAGTACGGAGCTAACACAAAAATTACCCATAACAAGGTCGTGTGTGACCGACCTCAAGCAGTTGTCCCTTGGGCACTGCGGTCACGCTCTCAGTTCACTAAGACCACCTTTAATCCAATTTCCTTTTCAGGTACCTCCAGAACAACCCTTCCACGGTGTGGGCAACCGGGAAGTGATAACCGCCCTCATACTTCTAACAGCACTCAAGTCCACTGTATTCATAATCAACCTCCTTCTTCAATTCCTATTATTCCTCCTACATCGACTTTCAACTCTGTATTTCCTCTCTCGGCTTCCACCTCAAGTGTCACCGTAGCCAACGATTCTAGTGCGCAAAACACTGTCCCAGGTCTACTGAAACCTCGCTCCAAACTACACATTGGAGCCTTCAACGTACGCACCCTATGTCAAATCGGTCAGCAGGCTTCCTTGGCTAAAACCCTAGAGTCTCTTTCCATTGATGTATGCTGTGTCTCCGAAACACGCATACAGGATTCCAGTGTGGTCATTCACTTGACCTCACCTCGGCAAGACGGAGAGCCAACGAGATACACCCTTCGTGTGTCCGGTGACCCGATGGCAAGTTCTCGTGGACTGGCAGGTGTAGGCATAGCACTAAGCATAAGGGCCGAACAAGCACTGCTAGAGTGGATCCCCGTCAACAGTCGTCTATGTGCTGTTCGGCTGAACGGCTACGTAAGAACTCGGAAGGATAGGGACACACGTCGTTGCCTTTTTGTCGTTTCTGCCTACGCTCCCACTGACTGCAGCTCAGATGAAGTGAAAGATGAATTTTACAGAAAGCTATCCGAACTTCTTCAGAAAGCTAAACGCTCAGACATAGTACTCGTAGCAGGTGATTTTAATGCTCAGATAGGCAGTTTAAACCAAACAGAAAGGCATTTAGGTGGATATTTTAGTATTCCGACACAGCGAACAGATAATGGTGATCGTCTGCTGCAGCTATGCTCAGACAATCGTTTATTTTTAGCAAACACAAATTTTAAGCATAAGGAGAGACATCGTCTAACATGGCGACCCCCTACACCAAACCAACGATGGACTCAAATAGACCATATTGCCATCAGTCATCGTTGGAGAGGGTCGGTAGAAGATTGTCGTTCATTCTGGAGCACCTGCTTGGACTCCGACCATGCCCTAATACGGGCACGCATCTGCTTGCGCCTCAATGGACGCAAAAAAGCCACATTAAAAAGACCCATTAGAACTGAGTTGAGTAACGAGAAAACCAAAAGTAGGTTCCAGGAACAACTGAGGTCACACTTAGTTAGTTGTGAAGACGAGGCTGACCCAGATGTTGCTTGGAAGGACATACAAGCAGCTGTGGAAACAGCAGTGACATCTGTTAGTGACTTAAACCACAGAGTTACAAGGAACCAGTGGATTTCTTCAAGGTCTGTCACACTGATGGATTCTCGCAAACTCGTCCCATCAGGTTCTGAACATGATGAAGAGCGTAAACAAATCAGATCTAGGTTAAGAAAAAGTCTAAGGAACGACCGTGAGCAGTGGTGGGTAACGAAAGCAAAAGAGATGGAAAAGGCGGCGACTATAGGGAACACAAGACAGCTTTACAGACTAATAAAAGAAACTGGAACTAATAAGTCAAGTGTAAGTGAGATTATTTCGGAAAAAGATGATACTCTCATCTGCTCCCAGTCCAGACGTTTAGAACGATGGGCGGAACATTTTAGAGAACAGTTCAGCTGGCCTTCAGCTACTCTACAACTACCCTCCATTCCCAGACAAAGTGAATGGAACATTGAAGTAGGTCCCCCAACTCTTGCTGAAGTTGAGAAGGCTATAGTTAATCTGAAACGAGGAAGGGCAGCTGGTCCAGATGGACTGGCTCCAGAAGTCTTTAAGGATGGTGGTCCAATTTTAGCGACTAGGTTGACTAATATTTTGGCTAAAATCTGGGAGTTAGACGTTATCCCATCTGACTGGTCGCAATCACTTATCGTCCCAATATATAAGAAAGGGTCAAAATCATCCTGTGACAACCACAGAGGGATTAGTTTAACAAACATAGTATCTAAAATACTGGCCTCGATAATTATCAAACGCCTAACTAAGACTCGTGAACTACAAACACGAGAGAACCAAGCTGGCTTTAGACCTGGTCGTGGCTGCATCGACCACATATTCACCATTCGTCAGGTTCTAGAACACAGGCATACCTATCGGCGTCCGACGATGGTGGTCTTTCTTGACTTAAAAGCAGCATTTGACTCTGTAGACCGCGAGACTCTGTGGCAGTGTCTGTCATTGAAAGGCGTACCTCAGAAGTACATAAACCTTGTGAAGGCTCTTTACTCGAACACTACTAGTCGAGTCAGGGCTTATGGCGAACTGTCATCTACCTTTACAACCTCAAGTGGTGTCCGTCAAGGCTGCCCACTTTCTCCATTTTTGTTTAACTTCATCATAGACCTATTGATGGAAATAACACTCTCGTCGACTGAATTCTCGGGTATTGATCTCCTTCCAGGAGGTCCACTTATCGACTTAGAATATGCAGATGACATAGTCCTGTTTGGTGAAGACGCTGACAAAATGCAGAGTCTTCTGGTAGCACTAAGCAACAATGCCAGAATGTTTGGGATGCGCTTCTCTCCCTCTAAATGCAAGTTGTTGCTTCAGGACTGGTCTGCGTCAACACCTGAACTAAGGATAGGGAGTGAAGTAGTCGAACGTGTTGACAACTTCACTTATCTTGGAAGTCTGATCAGCCCTAATGGGTTGGTGTCTGACGAAATCTCAGCACGGATTCGTAAAGCTCGTTTGGCTTTTGCCAACTTACGTCACCTTTGGCGGAGGCGAGATATCCGTCTATCAATAAAAGGACGAGTATACTGCGCGGCTGTCCGTTCTGTTTTAATTTACGGCAGCGAAACATGGCCCTTAAGAGTAGAAGACACCCGTAAGCTACTAGTATTTGACCACAGATGCCTTAGAAATATTGCTGGCATCTGCTGGGATCACCGGGTAAGTAATAGTGAGGTTAGACGCAGGGTATTAGGGAATGATGGTAAATCAGTTGATGAGGTTATGAATCTTCATCGACTGAGATGGTTGGGCCACGTATTACGTATGCCTGAACACCGATTACCGCGACGTGCAATGCTAACCGGTGTAGGGGATGGTTGGAAGAAAGTTAGGGGCGGCCAAACCAAAACGTGGCATCAGTGCCTGAAGTCACTAACTTCTAGTCTGAGCCATGTTGGTAGATGCAGACTACTTGGTTGGGGTCCGCGTGACTTTCGTAACCAATGGTTGGAGACCCTTGGTGACATGGCTCAGAATCGATCAC